AGTGTGTGTGTGTGTGAGTGGAGTGTGTGAGTGAGTTGTGTGTGAGTGTGTGAGTGTGTGTGTGTGTAGTGTGTGAGTGAGGTAGTGTGTGTGTGTGTAGGTGTGAGTGTGTGTGTGTGTTGTGTGTGTGTGTGAGTCTGTGTGTGTGTGTGTGTGAGTGAGTGTGTGAGTGAGTTTTTAGTGTGTGTGTGTGTTGAGTTGTGTGTGTGTGTGTGAGTGTGATATGTGTATGTGTGAGTGTGTGTGAGTGTGTGTGTGAGTGTGTGAGTTGTGTGTGAGGCAAAGTGTGTGTGTGCGTGAGTGAGTGTGAGTGAGTGTGTGTGTGAGTTGTAAGTGTGTGCGTAAAGAGTATGTGTGTGAGTGTGAGTGAGTGTGTTGAGTGTGTGTGAGTTGCGTGAGTGTGAGTGTGTGTGTTGTAAGTGTGTGTGAGTGTGTGAGTGTGTGTGAGTGTGTGTGAGGTGTGAGTGAGTGTGAGTGAGTGTGAGTGAGTGTGTGTGTGTGAGTGTGTGTGTGAGTGTGTGTGTGTGTGTGTGTGTTGTGTGGTGTGTAGTGTGTGTGTGTGAGTTGTGTGAGTGTGTGTGTGTGAGTGTGTTAAGTGTGTTGAGTGTGTGAGTGAGTGTGTGAGTGTGTTTTTAGTTCAGTTGTGTGTGAGTGTGTGTGAGTGTGTGTGTGAGTGTGTGTGTGTGTGTGTGTGTGAGTGTGTAAGTGTGTGTGTGAGTGTGAGTTGAGTGTGTGTGTGAGTGTGTAAGTGTGTGTGTGAGTGTGTGTGAGTGAGTGTGTGAGTGTAAGGTGTGTGTGAGTGTGTGTGAGTGTGTAAGTGTGTGTGTGCGTGAGTGAGTGAGTGTGTGTGTGTTGAGTGTGTGTGAGTGTGTGAGTGAGTGTGAGTAGGTGTGTGTGTGTGTAGTGTAGGAGTGTGTGTGAGGTAGTGAGTGAGTGTGTGTGTGTGTGAGTGTGTGTGAGTGTGGGAGTGTGTGAGTGAGTGAGTGTGAGTGTGTGTGAGTGTGTGTGTGTGTGTGTAGTGTGAGTGTGAGTGAGTGTGTGAGTTCGTGTGTGAGTGTGTGAGTGTGTGTGATGAGTGAGTGAGGTGTGTGTGTGTGTAGTGTGTGTGTGTGTGTAGTGTGAGTGTGTGAGTAGTGTGTGAGTGTGTGTGTGTGTGTGTGGAGTGAGTGATGTGAGGTGTGTGTGTGTGTGTGTGTGAGTGTGTGTGTGTGAGTGATGTGTGTGTGTGTGTGTGTGTGTGTGTGTGTAGTGTGTGTGTGAGTGTGTGGTGTGTGAGGTGTGTGAGTGTGTGTGTGTGATGTGGTAGAGTGAGTGTAAGTGAGTGAGTGTGAGTGAGTGGTGTGTGTGCGGCGACTATGTGTGTGTGTGAGTGTGTGAGTGTGAGTGAGTGTGAGTGTGTGAGTGAGTGTAGTGTGTGTGCGATTGTGTGCGTGATCTGTAATGTGTGTGTGTAGTGTGTGTGAGTGTGTGAGAGAGAGTGCCTGCTTGTTTTGTGTAGGATTTATCTTGTCAGTCAGAACTGTGTTAATTCTAGTCTTTGTCATTTTTTGTTGTGTGTGTTGTGTATGTGTGATGTGTGGGGGGGGTGTGTGTTTTGGACATACATAACCCTGGCTAACCTTGTTTTTGTCGATTAGATGAAGATTAGCCGCAAAGGTGTGATTCATCCACTGTCTTTTCCTTCCTTCTGTGAAGCAGAGTGTGAGCAAGCATCCTAATGATCTTCGTCAGTGTGTGTGTGTGTGTGTGTGTGTGTGTGTGTGTGTGTGTGTGTGTGTGTGTGGTACAGAGGGTTTATTGCTGAGACAGAGTGTTGTTGGGGAATTGGGAAACATGCGTCCATCATTCGAGTGTCTCTTAATGTCTCGGAAATGTCTCCTGAAGTGGATCTGAAGTCACGACTGCACCAGAGGGTCCAGTGTGGAAATACAGCTCCCACATGACCACACACGCACAAATGGCCTTCACACGACCTGCATGGAAAAATGGGCACAAAAGGTGGACCTCACTCAGAGACACGCATCGCATCGCATCGCGCTTAGACAAACAAGTCCCTCCCTGACCCGAGAGCAAAGCCAGCGAGGAAACATAGGGGAACGTTAAAAAAAGAATGGCTCCGTCAGAGAGAGCGTGGAAAATAATAGAAAGCAGGAAAAACATACACATGCTGATAGGGAACGCTCCCCTCGCCGGGAAACAGGAAGTGCAGAGAAAATGCATGACCAAATATGTACGAGTAAACAACAACAATGATGATGATAATAATAATAATAATAATAATAATAATAATAATAATATGAAGTAGAATAACACCACCACTAACAATAACATCAACAATAAAATCACACAATCACACACACACACAATCACACACTCACACAATCACACGCACACTCACACACTCATACACACTCAATCACACACTCACACACAATCACACATTCACACAATCACACACTCACACACACAATCACACACTCACAATCACTCACACAATCACACACTCACACAAACTCACACACACACAATCACACACACACATTCACACAATCACTATGACACACTCACACACTCTCACTATGACACACTCACACAATCACACATGATCACACTCACACAATCACACATGCACTATGACACACTCACACAATCACACACTCGCTATGACACAATCACACACACACACACACACTCAGACACTCACTATGACACAATCACACACGCACACAATCACATTCACACAATCACACTCACACCATCACTATGACACAAGCACACTCACACAATCACACAATCACACTTACACAATCTCACACTCACTATGACACACTCACACAATCACACGCACACTCACACTCAGACAATCACACTCACACAATCTCACACTCACTATGACACACTCACACAATCACACGCACACTCACACTCAGACAATCACACTCACACAATCTCACACTCACTATGACACACTCACACAATCACACACTCACAAAATCACACATGCACTATGACACATTCACACAACTCACTATGACACATTCACACAATCACACACTCACACAATCAATCACCCACTCACTATGACACACTCACACAATCACACACACACACACACACACTCACACATTCAGACACTCACTATGACACAATCACACACACACACACACTCACAATCACATTCACACAATCACACTCACACACTTACACACTCACACAATCACACACGCACACTCACACACAATCACACACACATTCACACAATCACACAATCACACACGCACACTCACCCAATCACACACACACTCAGACAATCACACTCACTCACACACTCAATCACACTCACACAATCACACACACACTCACACTCACACACTCAATCACACTCACACACTCAATCACACAATCTTACACTCACTATGACACACACAATCACACACGATCACACACTCACACAATCACACACGCACACTCACCCAATCACACACACATTCACACACACTCACACAATCACACACTTACACGATCACACACACACACACTCAGACAATCACAATCACACGCACACTCACACACTCACACAATCACAATCACACGCACACTCACACACTCAGACAATCACACGCACACTCACACACTCAGACAATCACACTCACACGCACACTCACACACTCAGACAATCACATGCACACTCACACACTCAGACAATCACACTCACACACTCACACAATCACACGCACACTCACACACTCAGACAATCACACTCACACACTCAATCACACAATCTTACACTCACACAATCACACGCACACTCACACACTCAGACAATCACACTCACACACTCAATCACACAATCTTACACTCACTATGACACACACAATCACACACGATCACACACACACAATCTCACACTCACACACTCACTATGACACACACACAATCAAACGATCACACACTCACACAATCACACAATCACACACTCACTATGACACACTCACACAATCACACACATTCACACACTCAAACAATATCACACTCACCCACTCACACACTCACTATGACACACTCACACAATCACACACTCACTATGACACACTCACACAATCACACACGATCACACACTCACAATCACATTCACACAATCACACTCACACCATCACTATGTCACACTCACACAATCACACTCACACAATCACACACTCACACAATCACACACTCACTATGACACAATCACACACGCACACACTCACAATCACGCAATCACAATCACACAATTACACACTCACACAATCACACACGCACACTCACCCAATCACACACACACACTCACACGATCACACACGCACACACACAGACAATCACAATCACACGCACACTCACACACTCAGACAATCACCCGCACACTCACACACTCAATCACACTCACACAATCACACTTACACACTCAATCACACGCACACTCACACAATCACACATGATCACACTCACACACTCACACAATCAGACAATTACACACTCACACAATCACACACACTCACTCACACAATCTCACACGATCACACTCACACAATCACCCACTCACACACTCACTCACAATCACTCACATAATCACACAATCACTCACATAATCACACAATCACACACTCACCCGATCACACAATCACACACTCACACAATCTCACATGATCACACTCACACAATCACACACACACAACTCACTCATACTCACACAATCACACAATCACACACTCACAATCACACACACACACAGTCTCACACGATCACAATCACACACGCACACAATCACACACACAATCACACACACTCACACAATCACACACTCACGCACACACTCACACAATCACACACTCACACACACTACCGTATGACACAATTCAGGGATGCCATTCAGTCTACAGTGCATGTCTGTGGACTGGGGGAGGGAACCGGAGTACCCGGAGGAAACCCCTGAGGCACAGGGAGAACATGTAAACACACACACAGGGCCACGGCGGGACACGAACCCTCAACCTCTGAGATTCGATGTGCGAGGCAAACGTGCTAACCACTAAACCTCCGTAACCCCCCATAACAAAATCTAAATCATTTTGATCATCTTCTAGATAATTATCACTGACAGATGAAGCCTTATGAGTGTTTATTGCTAACGTGCTTCCAAACCTCTGGTGTATACGAACATAACAGTTTTATTCCAGTCAGAAAGGGACTGCAAAGTAAACGCACCCACGGCCCAAAAATAAAAATGCCTTCACATGGAAAAACCGCACAAAAACATCTACACAGGACAACCGACACAGCGTCGAAGGATGAAATGGATGAAATCTGGCGGAATGCATGGATCCCAAGGTCAAAAATATGCCTCTGAAGGTGAAGAATTCCCCCACAGAGACAAAATTGACCTCAAAATAGATTCATGTGGAGGAAAAAGAAAAGAGACCCCCCCCAAGGAATAACAGCAATACGAAGCCTGTTTTTCCCATGACAGGTGTTCCTGGGAAAAATATCCGGGATGGAAACGTCCACGAATCCTCGATGCGCCGGTTTCTCAAAGTTCCAGCATCATCGTGGCACGTTTAAAGATTAACAACGCGCCCGGTTTTGGATCACGTGTCTGGACGAAAAGGAATTATGTAATCATGACTCGGGCTTCGAGTTCAGTTTTCTCTTCACTTGGCGAGTTGTTCTTTTGAATCTGTGTTTATTTCTCTTGGCCCGAGCGATCATTCAGTCCAGATGGAGTCTTCAAACTCCGCAGGCCTTGGACGTGTGCAGATAAAAATAATAATAATAATAATAATAATAATAATAATAATAATAATTTCAACTTAAGACGAAGAAAAACTTCACGATGTGTGTAGGATTATAAACAGAACTTCTAAGATATTTCGTAGATGAATCCGAAATGAAATTCCTAATGAGTGCCATCGGAGGACGCTAAGGCGACAAATTCGGTCACTTTCTACGGTTGCCTCAGACTGATACGAAGCGCTGACGCTGGAGACTCCTTCCATAAACGCTCAGTCAACATCTCCATCCATCCATCCATCTTCTACCGCTTACTCCTTCTTCAGGGTCGTGGGGGAACCTGGGGCCTATCCCAGGGACAAGGCGGGGTACACCCTGGACAGGGTGTCGTCAACATCTCCTTACAGACGAAAGCGTGGGGTTTGAAGCCAGTCACGGCCTCTGGATTCTTTACAGAGCCTAAACTCAGACTTGCTTCCTAACGACAGCGGTTCAGGACAGATCATTTCCGGATGCCGTCAATAATCCAGATTATTTTACGCTTTAGACCAGAGAGTGACGTGCGCGTCTCTCGGCACTGAGACGTCCCTCGCATTCATTATTCTGTGATAAAAACACCAGACCTGCAAGGTTTCCCCGTAATGAGCTGCATCCTAAACGCCACACTGAAGAGGTGCTCGAGGTGCTGCGGAGAACCTTCATTTAGCCGCCTGTCTGGTTACTCGAGGCCACAGAAGAGTTCATCAAAGCAGACGCAGGATGTTGATTATGCCTTCAGTTTGGCAACAAAACAACAAGTAGGACAAGGCCAGAGCTGTGTGTGTGTGTGTGTGTGTGTGTGTGTGTGTGTATACACACCATATATGGCTTTATAATGCGAATGCTTCCTTATTAGGATGCCACCTGAAGCTGGTACCGTGATAAAACAGACCGCTACACTGCACGTCACTAAGGTGAAGGGAGTAAGACACAAATTCAAGTAAACCCACGCCGGTTCACGTGTCATTCTCCAAACACGTATTAAACCTGGTCTTAAAAGGCTTTTCGGTAGTGAACCCTCAATGAGAGTGTGTTAAAGTCAAACGCTTCCGAATAAACCGCTATTCACGTTGAAATATTTAACACTGGAATCTTTACTGAGATAAACACTGTGTTAATGATGTGGCTGGAGTGTGTGGGTGTGTGTGGGTTGGTGTGTGTGTGAGTGTGTGTGTGTGGGTGGTGTAGGAGAGTGAAGGGGGGTGAAAGTGCACCTTTATGTGAGCAGATGAAAGACTCGGAATGTTTTTTTCTTCCTATTGAAATGCCCCTTTTGCTAATGAGAGATTACATCTGGTTGTTTGTGTGTGTGTGTGTGTGTGTGTGTGTGTGTGTGTGTGTGTGTGTGTGTGTGTGTGAGAGAGAAGATGAATCAGGGTGTTCTCTCACCTCGACTGAGAGTGCAACGCTTCTTAAACAGCCTGATAAAAACACAGTGTCTGTGTAACACTGCACAAACACACATCATTCTTTGTTTAACACTATGGATGGATAAACAGATGGATGGATGGATAGAGAAACGAAAGGATGGATGGGTAAACAGTTGGGTGGATGGATCGATGCGTGTGTAAATGGATGGTTGAATGGATAGATGGGTGGATGGATGTATAAATGGATGGATGGATGGATGGATGGATGAATAAACAGATGGATGGTTGGATGAATGGATGGATGGATAAACAAAAGGATGGATGGGTGAATGGATGGATGGATAAACAAAATAATGGATGGGTAAACCGGTCTGTGAATGAATTGATTAATAGATGGGTGGATGTGTGTATAAATGGATGGATGGATAAACAAAAGGATGGATGGGTGAATGGATGGATGGGTGGATTTATGTGTAATTGGATGGATAGATGGGTGGATGTATGTACAAATGGATGGATGGATAAACAGATGGATGGTTGGATGGATGGATAAACAAAAGGATGGATGGGTAAACAGGTGGGTAGAATGGATGGATGGATGAGTGGATGGATGTATAAATGGATGGATAGATGGGTGGATGGATGTGTAAATAGATCGATGGATAAACGGATGCTTGGGTGAATGGATGGATGGATAAACAAAAGGATGGATGGGTAAACAGGTGGGTGGATAGATGGATGGATAGATTGGTGGATGGATGTGTAAATGGATGGATAGATGGGTGGATGTATAAATGAATGAAGAGATAGGTTGATGGATGTGTAAATGGATGGATGGATAAACAGATGGATGGTTGGATGAAAGGATGGATGGATAAACAAAAGGATCGATGGGTAAACAGGTGGGTGAATGGATGGATGGATGGATGGATGTGTAAGTGGATGGATGTGTAAATGGATGGCTGAATGGATAGATGGGTGGATGTATGTGTAAATGGATGGATGGATAGATGGATGGGTGTGTGTGAATGGATGGATAGATGTATGGATACACAGATGGATTGATAGATGAATAAACAGATGGAGGGATAGATGAAATGGCAGTGGATGACGAAAATAGATGGATAAATAGATGGATAGACGGTTGGATGGATGAATGGATGGATAAACTGATGGTTGAATTCATGTGTAAATGGATGGATGTTGGGATAAACAGATAGATGGATGTATAGATACACTGCTCTCCACTAATATTGGCACCCTTGGTAAATACGAGCAAAGAACGCGGTGAACAATTGCCTTTATTGTTTAAACTTTTGACCTTCTGTTCAAATAATTCACAAAAATACTCGTGAATATCAAACAAGGAAGTATAAAGTGGTGACTTCTTATAAAATGAATAACAGTAAAATGTTGCATTAGTTATTGATTAGTGTTTCAATTAAAACAGCGTGTGTGTGTGTGTGTGTGTGTGCAGCCCAAAGGCTTCAGGAGGTACTCCAGCTCCCCGCTGCTGATCCAGGAGCAGTTTGGCTGCATTAAAGAGGTCATGCCTATCGGTGAGCGAGACTTTTTCATTTCAGACCACCATGATCCATGTGAAGGCTCAACCCAGTGTTTATATCGTGATTAGTCAGAAACACAACGCTAGGTTTCGTGCCCTCGTGTGAAAATAATCAACAACAGCATGGTGTGATAAAGTGCGCGTCAATGTAAACCCGCACTCCTGTCAGAGCTGCCGTTATGGAAACGTAATCGACGCCTCCCGACCAATCAGGTCGAAGAACTCAACAGCACCGTAGTGTAAATGTAAATGTGTACAAATGGGATTATTTTTAACAGCTAAATTTTTTATATTTCTAATACTAAAGATGAAAGATAACGGCCGGGCGGTTTTTCTCGTGAGTTCTGGGTTTTGATTGACAGCTGTCTCGTCCTGTCCCAGCGTGCGGCAGTAAGGTGGACCCGGTGTACGAGGCGCTGAGGTTCGGGACGTCCCTCGCTCAGAAGACCAAGAGGGCCAGCGGCTCAGACTCGCCTCCTAGAAACTCAGTAAGACTTAAAAAGAAAATTCAGTACTTCAGTGTGGAATAAACAGGATTGAAGATGTATTAACACTATCACACGATTAACACTATACACTATTATAAATATTATTATGGGCATTGTATTTATTTATATAGTAATGCCTTGTTTGGCTTTTCATTATAACACAACAGTGTGTGCTGGAAATACAGATGCTATAGATGCCACTTTTTCTTTTCCAGTACTGATACTGAAACCTTGAATATCAGGCAGTACCCAGTACCTACCTGGTATTGTTTATCTCTACATATACAATCCCAATTCCAAAAACGTTGGGACACTGTTGGAACAGAATGCAACGATTTGCAAATCTCATAAACCCGTTTGTTATTCACAATAGGACATAGAAAACATATCAAACGTTTAAACTGAGGAAACGTACCGTTTTAAGGGGAAAAGATAAGGTCATTTTACATTATATTTACATTTATTCACTTGGCAGACGCTTCTCTCCAAAGCGACTTACAAATAAGCAAAGCGATATTTAGAATTTGATGGCCGCAACACGTCTAAAAAAAAAAGTTTATCCACCCACCCACCTACCCACCATCCCACCCACCGACCTACCCACCCACCTACCCACCATCCCACCCACCGACCTACCCACCCACCTACCCACCATCCCACCCACCGACCTACCCACCCACCTACCCACCATCCCACCCACCGACCTACCCACCACCCCACCAACCCACCCACCCACCTACCCACCTACCACCACCCACCTACCCACCCACCCACCCGACCCCACCCACCCACCTACCCACCATCCACCCACCGACCTACCCACCACCTACCCACCATCCCACCCACAGACCTACCCA